GCGTTGACAGAGAGGAGAAGGTAGAAATGACTCAGTCTGTAACTGAAAATATGGATGGAGGACAACAGTTTAGCTTGTTTTTTACAGTCTTTATTTTACAGTGAAAATAAATGTTTATCAAATAAAGTTTAATGTTGCAACTAATAGTGGATCCTTTTAACTGAAGCTACAGTTGTGTCACATACATTTAACAACATTAACAGCAGTGTCAATATGGACATAATAAACTGTCAACTAAATAAAACATTCAAATAAAATAAAGKTTACTCAACAAAACCTTTCATTATCTGTTTCAAAACTCCATCTTCTKTTTTTGTCCTCAAGAAGAGTTCAGTTTCTGTCATACAGGTCCTCATCAAGTTTCGTTTCAACAAGTCCTTGAAGCTAAACCTGAAAGTCCAGTTTGTTCTGTCATATTTTTGTCATAAGTTTGTGCTAGTAGAGAAGCTACAGCTTACAACAACTTGAAGCCAGAAGGTCCAGGACTTAATATCATCATTTCTAATTCAACTTGAATGGTGGAGGTTTATTTAACACTAGCTAACAGCTGATTAGCRTATCCGCTCACTGAGCTTCACTTTTCTCTGGCAGAAATAATGAGCCAGGTGGGCGGAGTTTAAACACATTCACTGTGGATTTATTTGTCAGGAAAACTCACTTCTTAGCCAGATCACACACCAGCTGACCGGTGAGGAACAGAGCTGCCCACTTCAAACTGACAGTGCTTTTTTTTTTCTCTGTCTCTCTCTTCCTGATTTTAATACACATACTTACTTAGACTTCAGATTTCTTTTTACACAGTAATGGATGGGTTTTAAAATATAACTAAGTAAGATACTTGAAGTAAAACCTACTCAAGTAAAAGTAAATATAAATATTGCAATAACAGGAGTGGGCAATCCTGGTCCTGGAGGGCTGCTTTCCTGCATGTTCTACTTGTTTTCTTGCTCCAACAATTCTCTTGCCTTATACAGTACAGCAACAGATTTTGCTATTTTTGTTTTCAGATAAGATGAGATTTCCAGGTCAGGTTTTCATCAATAATTACACGCAAAAAATTAACTTCACTCACTCTACAAATCACATTACAATCCACTTTAACTTTGCGCTAGGAATTTTGTATGTTATAATAATAATGAATCTCCGCTGAATGAGTATGGCAAGCCATTTTAGCATATAGTTGGATTCACGACACTTCCATTCCAGATATCTGAAATTGAATTATAACTGGTCATATTTCTTATTTAAATATCTCTAATTATATTTTTTGACTTGTTAAAATACCTATTTGAGATGTCTTGAATTGACTATTCAGAATGTTAATACAGATATCTTAAATTAACATTCCGGATAGTCAAAATGTAGTTAGTCAAAACTCATTTTTAGATATCTAGAATGTAATTACAAATAGTCAGATGAAACCGATTAAATGCTAAAATAGCTTGCCATACTTTCCATGCTGAACGATTTTTTGGGATACTCGCGAGAGTGACAGAGGAGACGGAAGTGAGTAGCAGTTGTCAGCTGTGGCATGTTTGGAAACTGTGGCAGAAGATGGTGAGTGTTTTTGTGGCTCCATTTAACCTTTTTGCACATTGCTGCGCTGCGTTTGCCTTATAGAAAATATTGCAGTAGGTTTGAACGGCCTGAGTAGAGTTGAAACAAGTCATGAGCTTTGCTTTCAACTAAAGTCTGGTTTGAGAATCAGCTTTAAACTAGTGTGAAATGAGTGTTTT